GGGGCCGAGCGCGTCCACAGTGGCCGAGCTGGGCTGCCACGCCCACCACCGAGCGCTCACTGGGCTGTGCGCTCCACCCACCCGCGCGCCGGCCGCGAAGCTCCCCTTGCTTCCTTTGCGCGGCGCTCCAAGTCTATTGATTTCACCGCGCTTTTCCACCTGTAACAGAGGCGTGGTGCTGCAGGGCCGTGGCTCAGGCCTCAGCAGGTCGGCAGGCCGGCAGGCCGTGTCAAAGATTTTATCTAGTCTGGAACTCGGAGCTGCACTGACAAACGATGCCTCCCGACCCCCGGCCTCCAAGTTCTTGTCCCCCTATTCCCCGATCCCCTCCAGTGCGGCTGGCCATGGGAATCATAGGTATCCTGTTCCTGAAAACTGCCCCCTCCTAAAAACCCTCACCGCTTTCTGTGAAGCTCTTCTGCATCCATCTCTTTGCACTGAATTAACGGGGCAGTGGCAGGATGGGGACTCCAGGTGTTAGTTTGGAATTTTAAAAACAGGGCAGGAAAGACTTGAACATGGTCACAAGAGTCCAGAGCAGGGCAGGCAGAGGACCACAAGCACAAGACTGGGCCTTGTAAAAGGCCCATGCCGGCTACAAGGAGGGCCCGGGTGAGGGTGCTGGGCATGATTAAGTAGATGAAGAGCCAAGGCCTTACCCTGAGAGCGATGGAAAGGGCATCAAAGAGGGTGCAGCCAGGCACAACCCCACCTCACTGAGACTCTCCTGCACATCAGGGGACACAGTCAAGGCCCCTCCTGTCAGAAGCCAAGAGTCTACAGTGGGAGACCAAGGTTAGCGGGAACCTCTGAGAAGTCATCTTTGATCCCCTTGGCACCAGGACTTGAGATATATTCTGTTCCAACAGGCTGAGGGAACAGAGGATGAACAAGGGGAATTTCTACCACAGGATCTAGCATGGCAGCTGCAAGGATCAGGCACTCCTTCCTTAACCACTGAAAGCCGATTTATAAACATGCAGAAGCCAGATAAAAAGACCCCCGAAACCAAAAAACACCACACCAATGCTTAGAAAGTAGCTATATGTATAAATAAATGTATACTATATTTAAGTGGCAGTAACACTTCCCATTCTTAGTTCTTCTTTCTCTCATAATGTGCAGTGGCAGGTAGGAAGATCTCCCTGAGGTTGCTCCAAAGCCCATGGGAGTGAATGTTCCGGTGGACCTGGGGCTCTGCTGATGGCGGCCGGGCCACGTGGGGGCAATGCTGACACCAGGCCCAGTCACCTCTGTACCACTCGTTAGTGGTCTGGTTGGTGGCAGCCAGGTACAAAGTAAAGCACAGGTAGCCCCCCAGGAGGAAGCTCAGCATGATGACAAAGCCCAGCATGAAGACAATCCTTGGGAAGGTCAGGAACAGGTACTGCGGGTAAAGAAAAAACAGCGTGTTAGGCAGCCAGGCTGGGACACAAGAAAGGGTCGCACCCACCAGCCGCAGCCTGGTCTACAAACACGCAAGAGCTGCCCACCCAGCTCACCCACCTCCGTACACATCTGACTGCCTAAACACAAAACAAAACCATAAACGGCCCTGACTAACAGCCCAGGAGGAAACCCGAATATGTACAAGAGTTTCAAGTGAGATAAATGAAACGTGTACATTGAAGGAAAAGGGAAAGGATACTCAGGAGGGGTGCTTTCCTAGTTAGCTGTTTGTAAAACAAAGACATAAATACAGATCTCAGTTCATGCATCAAAATAAAGTCCAGATGGACAGAGAAGATCAGTCTCTCTCTCAACACAACACGACCACAGAAATGCATGCACAAGAGTATTCACTGTCGTGACTTTAAAAGCCCCTCTTCCTAAAAGAAACACGTTAAAAGTCCATTCATGAGGAAGAGTAAAACCCTGGGATAGTCACACTCTGGAATAATGAGCCGGTAAAAATGAGGTCAATTTCTACGTACTGATTTGGAAAGACACTGATAAAATATTGCTGGATGCGAAAGACCAGAGCCGAGAATCACAATGGCATCTTATTTGTGTAAAGACAAAAAGACTCCATGAAGGTGTGTGACTATATAAACGCACAGGAAAGAAGCCTGAAATGTACACACCAAACTACAGAAATAGTTGCCTCTGGGGAGTGAAGCTGTTGGGAGGGGAGGGGGAGAACTCCCAGTTTTCCTCTCGTTTTTTTCTTTTGTTTTTTTTAAGATTTTATTTATTTATTTGACAGAGAGAAAGACAGCGAGAGAGGGAACACAATCAGGGGGAGTGGGAGAGGGAGAAGCAGGCTTCCCGCTGAGCAGGGAGCCTGATGCGGGCCTAGATCCCAGGACTCTGGGATCATGACCTGAGCCAAGGGCAGACGCTTAATGACTGAGCCACCCAGGCGCCCCTTTTTCATTTTTTTATAAAGATGTTTTAAATTTTATGCTTCTTCCCCCCAGCTTTACTGAGATATAATTGACAGGACATTGTGAAAGTTTAAGGTGTACAACATGACATACAGCAAATGATCACAACAAGCTTAGTTAATACATCCATCACCACACATAGTTACAGTGTCAGTGTTTTTTGTGATGAGAACTTTTTTTTTTTTT